CCGGAGCCCGGGCGGCCCGGCCAAGGTCACGGGACGCGGGCGGCAGGGCGGCAGGGCCCGCTGACCCTAGGCCTTCTTTGTCACCAACCCAAGGCCCGCGTTTCCTCTGGGTTCCGGTTTGGGTTCTTCACAATCCCATTAGAGCTCCGCCCCAGCGCAGGTTTCCTCGGCCACTCTCGGGGGCGCCGCGGCCGCCAAAGTGCCCTCCCGCCCTCGACCGCCGGACAGGCCGCCGAGCGCGGCGGCCCGAGTGGTCCGCCAGGCCCGGGCGGCGGGAGCGGGCTGCTTCCCGCGGACTGCGGAATGAAGGCTTTTCAGGCAGCGGCCCGAGAAAGGCATTTTACTTTTATTTCTAATTTTTTGAGATGGGGTCTCCATCTCGCCCAGGCTGGTCTCAGACTCCTGGGCCCGGCAGTCCTCCTGCCTCGGCCTCCTGAGTAGTCTGGGAATGCGAGCGATCTCGCCAGGCCAGCCATGAACGCAGGGCCTGCGACGCGGAGGGCGCAGGGGCTCCGCTGGGAGCTCGCGGTGGAGGGGGCGGCAGCAGTGACGGGGCAGCGGTCAGGGCGGAGGAGCCGGGGGCTTTGGAGTGACCGTCGCAGCCCGTGTCCCAGGCATCTGAAAAGCCTGCCCTTGTCTGACCCTCTTCTATCACTGAGACTCCCGGCAAGCAAGAACCGCGTGAGGAGGCTCTGGGCAGAGAACTTGCCCGGGAAGTCGAAGCCCTCCACCGCGGCCCGATTTTTAGGGTTCAGATTTGGGTTTTCCCGATTTGGAAGGTGTGGTGGGACCAGCCTCCGTTTACCAGCCAGGGCTCAGCTGTAGCCTGTTCTCTGGGGGAGAGGCCCTTGGACAGGCTGTGGAATTCTAGAATTCTACCAGGGGCCAGACACCTGCCCTGTAGTTACGTTCTGCGCGCTTCGAGGGCATTCTACATGCCCAGCGGCTGTTAAAACCCACGAAGGCTCTTGTGTAGGGCTCATTTCTGCTTCCTAAACCATGCCGTCCAACTCAACCGGGGGAGGAGTCTTGCCCATTCAGGCCTATGACGGCACAGGACTGGAATCCCAGCTTTCTGGGAGGCTGAGGCAGGATGACTGCAAATTTGATCTCAGACTGAGCAATTTAACGACTCTGTCTCCTATTTTTAAAGGGCGGTGGGGTGGAGCTGTAACTCAGTTCAAAGGCCTTGGGTTCAATCCCCAGTACTGGAAAAATAAAAAATTTTAAAACCCCAAATCTTGCCCAGGTTGGGAAGTGGCTCCACCCCTCCCTGCACCTTCCGCCGATCTGGTCTTTCTGCCACTCCCCTGTGGGCCACCTGTGTCATGAGGGGCTTATTCAGCCTCTGTGGTGGCCCTGGATGGCTGAGGACCTGCGTTGCGTCTGTCCTGAGTACTACCCTCCCTGCCGGGACAGGAAGGGGTGGCCGTGACAGCCACACCCAGGACAAGGGTCAGGCCAGGGACCGGAGGGTCTCCAGCAGGGGGTACTGGGCCTTAGGCACCCGGTAGGACCTTGGTGAGTGGGGTTCACCCCATCCCAGGCCGGAGCCTGGAAGCCCAGGGGCAGCAGAGGGCAGCCCAGGAGGCACCAGCTGGGCTTCCGCCTCGCCCTGGCCTCCACTGGGAATGGCAGCTGCAGCGGGGCAGCAGACACTCCCGGGGCCTGGGGTGTGGGGAGGCAGCAGCCCCCGCCTCGGCACCCCACCGCGCTGGTTCCCCAAGCTCCCCCAGCCTCCTGGGGTCTCCAGGCAAAGCCCCGGGGCTGCCCGCTCTGCCTGGAGGTGGGGCAGGAACCTCTGTCCACGGACCTGGGGCGGGGCGGGGGCTGTGGGCACCCCCTCGGGGACCTGGCCGCGGAAGCTGAGGCTTCGTTTTATTTGGTGAAAGTGTTCGTGCTGAGCGTGGCGAGTGGACGTGCCCTCCCCACCGGCCAGGCCGCCTCCCGGTCTCGACCCGCCGGGCTGTGCGTGGGGAGGTGCGGTGTCAAGGGCGGGGGCGAGCGTCGCCTGCTTCCTGGAGGGGAGGGCGTGGGCGCCGACGGGCCGCGCGTGGGGGAGGCCCGGCAGGCAGCGCTCTTGGCGGGGGCCTCCCGAGATCACCTCTTCTGGGCGCGGAGCTGTCGCAGGAGCCACTGGGCGACGAAAGGCCACAGGAGAAGGAAGAGCAGTGTGGTCGCCGAGAGCCTGAGGGGCCGGGGCCGAGGTCCCTGCGCGAGAGGAGAGGGGCTGGCGCTGCCTTCTGCGGCCCGGAAGGACCTGCGCAGAACGGGGTTCCAGAACCCACGCCTGCGCCTGGCCACAGCAGCCAGCGTGTCCCGTGTCCTCGCTGTCCAGGGCCAGGAGGCTGAGGCACGCGCTGACCCTCGGGCCAGGGGCCGGGAAGGTGGGGGATGTGGGCGCCGGGCACCACGGAGCAGGGCAGCTTCTCACGGTGAGCGAGGTCGAGACCAACACACGCCCTGCGGGAGCAAGCCGCACTGTGACGTCAGAAAGAAGCACAGTACAGCTGACCAGACTGCTCTGCCTATACAGGAGTCCGCAGTGATTCTCAAAAATGAATAAATAAAACTGGAGAGTTGTCACCATCCAGCAGGCTTGTAAGTCAGTTCCTCACTTGAAAAAAAGGTAATAAGGGACAGGGCACAGCTCAGGGGCAGTGTGGCTTGATGCCTTTGGTTCCATGCGCAGCACCAGACACATGAAGACAATTATCCTGTCATTCTGTGAAGTACCACATCTTGTTTCTTTGAGACACAGTCTCACTATGTAGCCCAGGCAGATCTCGAACTCTCAACAATTCTCCTGCTTCAGCCTCCCAAGCACTGGGATTACAGGTGTGCCCCACCACGCCCAGCTAAGGACTGTATTTCAAGAAAACCCAAGGTGATCAGGGAAACTACTGAAAAATGTTGGCTAATAAATGTTATAGAGCCAGGCGTGGTGGCACAGGCCTATAATCCAAGCACTCGGGAGGCTGAGGCAGGAGGATCGTTGCAAGTTCGAGACCAGTCTGGGCTACAAAGTGAGCTCAAGGCCAGCCTGAACCGCATAGCAAGACCCTGTCTCA